ATTGTCAAGAGTAGCACTACAAGATCACTAAGCGTGGAGCTTGAAAGCTCCCAATCATAATTTTTGATAAATATTTTTTGTGGCCAAAGGCAAAAGTTTCCACTAGTCTATAATAAAACTTATTACATGTTTTTGTTTACATCAGATGTTTACAACTTATTGCATTTATAAATATAGAAAATACACAAAATATATCAATTTTATATTTAGAAATCATTCAAAAAATATTTAAAAGTAATCATTTTGAGAGATAGAGTCATATCCATTTAAAATTTACTTGAATTAAATGAAAATAAATTTTATTTTGTTTATAAAAATAAATAAAATAAAATTGAGGCCTTGCTTTTTCAATGAATGTTATAGTGATAAATATCAATTTTTGAAATGTTTGAATACATTTCTCTTGTATATTGTGTCAAAAAAATGTTCAAATAAGGATTATATTTGATTTGGATATAAAATAAAATGCAACATCTGATTGGAATATTTATTTAAAACATTTGTACATTGGTTAAAATTCTTGTAAAAATGAAGGAGATGAACTATGATGTCAATGAAAATAGATTTGGCTGGGTCAAATTCGAACGAAAGATGAGTTTACATAAAAGCTTTTGATTGTGATGAAATCAAGAAACATAGCTAAAAGTTGATAGAAGGAGGAAAAAAATAAAACGAAATAAAATGAAAATAAAAAGAAGAAGAAAAAATGTATCCAAAGTTTTATTTTTTAGGACCACAAAAAATATTTTTATTTGAATTATGTCTTAAAAAATTCCTGAATATAAATACAAGTTGTTTAATTGAAAGTTTGGCCTGATTGCAAAAGTCCTTATCAATTGATACATCTCATTGTAACTATCACATTGTTCTTACAAGGATGACTATGACTACAACAATCATTTTTCACAAACTCAAAGCATTTATTTCCTTACTTTACAATTCTAAAATGCCCAATTATTTTTTCATATTTAGAAAGCAATAAATTAAAAAAAAAATTAAAAAAAAAAAAATCAAGAACTTGAGTCGAAGTCTGCCAAACACCACATCACAATGATACCACAACAACAATAGACTTGATTCTAATAGAGATTAAGCAGGTTGAATGTAAAGGTTGGAAATAGAAATTGGTTTTTTTTTTTTTTTTTTTTTTTTTTTTTCACTTTATTTACTTTTTTCTTTACTGCGTGAATTATAATGAAATTATAAGAACCTTTCTGTACTGCATTGAAGCAGTTGCTGTACAATATTTGAACTATAAGTCTTTTTTTTTTTTTTTTTTTTTTTTTTTTTTGTTTCATTTTAAAACGTCATTACTAATAAATTCACATTATAATGGATTTTAAACGATTCTGTAATTTTATATGCCCGTTTCAAACTTGCAGCAAAAAACTTGTTTTTGTATATTTTCAAATAGGAAATAATAATAGTAATAATAACAGTGATAAGAAACTTAATTGTTTGAACTATTTTGTGAATATAAAACCACATTTATAGTTTTGTGTATTGCAACTTTTTCTTGAATAAGGTTTTTTGACACATTAATTAACTAAAAAAGAAAAAAGAAAAAAGAAAGAGGAAACACTCAAAAGAAATCTGCATGCATTCTTCATTTGTATGCTTTTGTAAAAGAACTCATGGGATTTAAAGGCTCAATAATAGAACGTACAATGATGTGAAATATGGCTTCCAAATTTTTTTTACAGAAAGTTGACTTTTCTTTTTATCTCTGTTTCATTCACATAACATTTTTGTTGCCATTTTTCACAGATACACACCATCCATGGACTTTAGCAGAATTGAACATTCCTATTCAAACTCTTCTTTGGATGAATGAAAATTCATTCATTTTCTTCATATAGTTGTTTAGTTGTTTATTTTATATGGTTATTGATGCCATATTTTGTGTGGTCTTTATTAAAGATAGTTATGTGTTATTTTCATTGCATATAGTATGATTTAATTTAGTCTTAAGTTTTAATTTAATTATATAATATATGAATATAAAAAGAAAAAAATATCATATATATACCCCTCAAATATATTAAAATATTAAGAATATCCATATATTCTTGATAATAGCAAATATATCCTTCTTGGTGATAAGTTATCAAGATTGATCAATAAAATTTAGTTTAAGAGAAGATAGAGTGTATTGCCACCAATTCTTTGTAAAGTATTTCAAAGCTATTGTAGAGTGCCAAGATTGAAGTAATACTTTAGAATGAAAGCATAGGGGTCCATGAACACTTACCACAAGGGTCAAGCACCCATTTGACACTATTGGTCAAAGTTGAAACATCAAGACTTGCAAACAACAGCAATACAATTTCTTTACCAAAATTGAGTGCCCTATTTTAAAGTGATCCCTTTTAAAAGCCTTATTGTTGCTCACATCAATTGTAATTGCAAATGGCTTCCTTGTTAAGGCTAATAAGCAATTATTATCATTGCAATGGAGAGCTACAAATGATACCTAAGATCTAAGGACTAGGCTCCTAACTATGGTCTATCCCACAACCATTGAAAATATACTTCTCATCTTTGCATCCAAAAAGTCTTCCAATTGAGCCACAACAACTATGATAAACCATCTTCTCCAAACCACTACATGTACTACAAGTCATATTATTATTAGACCACTTTGTCTATATGTACAACACTCTATAAGATATATTACATATTAGACACTTCTTTCTACCAATCATTGATTTTTGATCTTTAGATTCCAAGATGGACTTCACCAACTACATGCTACCAACAAGCAAAGTGCTTTATACCATTTAGATCATTACTCCTATCTTGCAACTTGTGATTCCAATTAGAAATTCAAAAAAAAAAATTGGTCTTCTCACTTCCTTGGGATGGTTGTTCCTATTAATTTCACCTCAAATCAAATACTTTATAGTATTTGTGAATTACAGTAAGTACTCTAAGCTTTTGTCACAAATTCTTTCTACCTCAAGTTTCTTCAAAAAATGTAAGTGTTTTCCTAAAAATTACTACCAGCTTGCATCCTCAAAATTTATGATGCAAGATGTGGTCTGCAAATTGTCAAAAGCAAATGTAGCAATTTTTTTGTAATTCTTAAAAAAACTAAAAAGAAGCATGGCAATATCTATACAACTTGCAATCTTAGCTCAAATGACAACTAAACAAAGAATGTTGGTTATAACTTATCACCAATAATAGTACATTTGCTATTATGACAAATTTAATAAATATATTTGCTATTATCAAGAATTGAGAGATATTCTTGATATTTGATAATATTTGAGGGATATAAATGATATTATATATATAAATATATATATATGATTATTTTATTTATTTTTTGGTGTCTCCATATAATTTCTTTGACACTCTTTCTATATATATATATATATATATATAATTGTATACACACTATTTTTTATAATGCAAAGAATAAAATGTACATGCACTCAAACATATTTCAAGCTTCATTTTTTGGATGGAAATAAAACCCTTTATCTCTTCATGTGGTAATTGGACAATTGTAATATGATCCCATAAGAGTCCAAGTATAAAAGAAATACTCAAAAATATTTATTGTAACATTGATGGTATTACTGTTTACTAAAACTTTTGATACTGCATGCCTACATACAAATATTATTCAATGATATAAAACATTAATTAGCATGAAATATTTTTTGAAATTATTTAATCAAAAATTCTATTGGAATAAAAATTTATGTTCACATGATACAAATGAAAGTTGGTGTGCTCACATTGCACCTTTGATATTGTCCATAACTTGTCCTTCTAAGTAGCAATTTCCTTGTCTACAGACTCCAATTGCCTTATTTGTAGTACCTACAATTGGTTAGCAGAGTGTATGTGTGTATATATATAAATAGGATCTAAATCTTATTAGATTCTTAGTTACATAGCTTTTTATTTTTCATTTTTAATCTACTACAATTTTATTTTTATTTATTTTTAAAATTCTTCTAAACCCAATTTCTTTTTTAAAAACAAAAAGTAAATGCCATTGTATGTTTAATTGAAATAGTCATCATGTTTGTGTGTCCAAACAATCTTTACATGATTATCTCTACTTCCAGAGTGGATTAGTCAATAACTTCACCCACACCACATCATATTTTCACTCTCCACAACATTTTGTTCCAAAGAAGCCTCCCATGAGTGTATTACTCAGCAAATCACAAGCATGAATTCAAAACTAAAAGTCACTTTTAACAACATCTAAACAATGGAACTTTAAACTAATATACTCATCACAGTTTCTTTTACAAATGAAGCTTTTCGACATCTAGATGCACTTGCTCACACCATACAAAACTTTTTGTATAAGCTCAATGGGGGTTTGTGAGCATATTTAACACTATTTAAAACTCAATAGAAAGAGGAAGTTCTTCACAAGTTGAAGCTCAAATTGAAACAACTACACAACAAAGAGCAAAGCTTCAAAATTGTGGTGTGAGAGGGGACCACCACACAACCCCTGTAACCCTGCATCTTTGAAAACTATGTCACAATTCTAACAAGCAACAAAGCAACAACACCACACATACATAGAAACACACATTAATTAACAAACTGAGCATGGAATAGGGCTTGCTGGGTGGCATCACCCACAGAGCACAGAAGTAAACAAGGAAGTGGGGCCTAGGATGGGCAGAGCCAAGGCCACTCCACTCCACACAAGGACTGATCTCATGGATGCAAAGAGGTGCAGTAAAGGCAGAAGAAGAAGAAGCAGAAGAAGACGCAGAAAGGAAGAAAGACCATGATGCACAGCATCTGGAAGTGAATCGAAACATGAGGGGAATATATGAGGGGAATTAACGCGGATGGATAAATGACGTCATATCTGAGGGAAAAGGTACAAATATTGAATATAGTATTTTTTTATTGTTGTTATTATTATTTTTATGTAAATAGGATTGGGGGCGAGCCGAGGCGTGTCTCGAAATGCGGGGCTCCTAGTCTAGATCAAGAACTGCAATAACTGAGCGTCCGGACAGAATTTGAGCGACGGGGCGAGGATTCATCAAGAGCTCTTGCAGGCTGCAAGTCAAACAGATCCAGATTTGGATTCAGAAAGAGCGAGAGAGAGAGAGGGAGAGAGTGAGAAAGAGAGGTGGTGCAGTGGGCAGTGTCCAGCGCAGGCGGTGGTTTCATTCGCCTATATAGTGCTGTCGGATCAAACCGGGTTACTATTTTCTTCACCGAGACTTAGATGATATCGTTCTGATCGGGTCCGAGAACGAGGTGAATTCTGAGTCGAGACGTTACCTGTAGTTGTTATTGCAGAGGAGACTGCCTCGGAGTCGGATGCTGTAGGTGTACAGGAAGCTGGCTAGGTGGGTGATAGTGGCCTTAGAGGGGTCGATTCGGCAAGGAGGTTGAAAATTCTCCGTTGGGGTTCGGCCGTGGTGTCAATCCGCGTTGTGGATGCCTAGTAGATAGCTACAGTTGAGTGTCTCAAGCTATTCTAGCATCTTGTTCATAGTGTCTTGGTCTTCTCTGGAGACCAGAGAGTGGTGGAGACTTATTCAGCTAGGTTTTGGTTTCACGCCGGCTGTGCTCCGCGACAGCTTGTAGTCTTTCCGTTCGTTGACGAAGGACTTTGATTCACCGAAAGGTAAACTTAGATAGTTGAGTGCTTCGATATCGGCTTGTGGTCACTGGATCATCTCTAGTGGTAGCTCACTGTAGGCAGTCAGGGAAAGGACTTCAGAGTGCAGTAACCGTCGTCGCAACTTGTCATCACTTTGCTGTGTCTGCTATCGCCTCTTCTTCTTCTTCTTCTTCTTCTGCTTCTTTCTTTTCCTCGGTGTTGCTAAGATGACGAGACTTTCTAAGGCGAGTGAAGACGTTCGGAAAGGAGCATGGGCTGCGGAGGAGGATGAGAAACTCCGCAAGTATGTAGAAACCTACGGGACTGGTCACTGGCGCAGCGTTGGAAAGAAAGCAGGTCTTAGGAGATGTGGGAAGAGCTGTCGTTTGCGTTGGACGAATTATTTGCGGCCTGATATTCGGCATGGGAGTTTCACTCCACAGGAAGAGGATCTCATTGTCAAGCTGCATGCAGCTCATGGAAGCAGGTATCAATTTAGCTGTAGTTTAGAGTTAGGCCGCGAGATATTAGGGCAAGCAGTGGGAGTTCAGCATCCAAACCGTCTGGAGTGCAAGTTTGCTTTTTTTTCTGTTTTTTTGTTCTTTGTTTTATTTTCTTTTAAAAGATCGCTTCAGTTACGAACAAGAGTCTTATGAAGGTGTAATTCTGCTTTGCTGCAGATGGTCTCTCATTGCTGCACAGATGCCAGGTAGAACCGATAATGACATCAAGAATCACTGGAATACTCGGCTGAAGAAAAAGCTGTGTGACATGGGCATAGACCCCGTCACCCACAAGCCCATAGCTGACTTGCTCAGAGACCTTGCTGGAACTATGGGTCAGTCATCTGGAGGAATCAATCAGGTGCGTCTCATCGCACTCTAGCGTGTTTGGGGTATCTATTGGCCTGCAGCACAGTTCAAATTTCCCTTGTTCACTTTTGTTTCTTTTCTGTCGGTGGGGCTAAGGCTTGATCGATCACTTGATTGTGTCAGCAGATAGCTGAAGAAGCCGCACGAAGGTGCTTTCGAGATAACCTTGTGAGCAAAGCAGTGCGAGAGTGCGGGAAGAACGTCAACTCTGCCCCCACGGTGTCCCAGTTCATGAATCAGGCTTTGAATGTTCAGCACACTGAGGAAGTCATGTCCATTCATCTAGAGCTTCATGGCGGCGGCGATCACATGGGCCAGAAAAGCTCCAACAATTCTGGTAACTCTCACAGCATGGACGAGAGCAGTAGCACTGACGAGGCTCCCTCAAGGCGCTCTCTTAGCCCCCCCATTTCCACCAATTTCGATCAGCGAAGAGGCGCAACAGGCACGGTGGTGGAAAGCTCCTGCGGCCAGATTGCGTACCTTTCTTCAACTCAAATGCAGAACGAAGCCAACTTGCAGGCTAGATTCACGGAAGGTGGTGCCACTCCCACAGGTTCTTTCCATGACCCCACCCCAGGATGCACCTCTGTGACCACCACCTCCCTCCAAAGTGCAGGCGCGGACGTTTTTTACCAACGAAAACGTGACCCGACTCTTGTGGGGTCTGGAAAACCCTTCCAGACGAGGACTGAATACAACCGCTGGTTGTCATCCCGAAGCGCTCCTCCACAAGAAGACTTTCTCAATTCCGTGGTACAGTTACCCCTCAGTCGGTTCGGCTCAGAGGTCCAGAACCAGATGGCGGTTCCAAACCACGCCGAGGTTTCCTACATGCAGGGATCCGACGTAACTAGGTCGCAGTCGACCTCCGCAGCTAGTAAATTGGACATCAGGATCAACCTCGGGTTTAACCAGCAGCCGGCATCGTTGCAAGAGAGTTTGAATTTTGGCTACAGAAACTTCAGTAGTCCTTTAATGTCGTCGAACTCAACGGGAAATTCCTTGCTGGACACCAACACGCAGCATGCTTTGTCTGGATACGCTGGACAATTCTCTAGCTCCATTATCACCCCAAGCAACGTGAATATGGCGAGTTTCAACAGCCCCTTAGCTGGGGCGACTGCAGGCTTGCGGCTCCATGAATATGAAGTGCCGAGTCCGAGGATGGTGTTGTGGGACTTTCAGGAGTAGACATTAATTCGCAGCAAATTGGTTAGGTTTCTTGTCGGATAATTTTGGTGAGATGCTTCCCTCAGCAATTGATATGCACATTCTCATGATCTGCTAGGCAGGCTTCGAAAGCTCACTTTGTTAGTTAGGGTAGGAGGAAGCGTCCATGAACACAGGCTGCTAAAATTATCCTGAAACACCATATTTGTTAAATTGGCAGATTCCAAACTGCCAAAATTTGTCACTCACAGGCCTCACACTTCTGAGAAACTTCTCCAAATTTAGACTGATCTAGTTGCGTGGTTCCGCCACAGCTACTAAAATTGGTCAATGCAGTGCATAAAAAGAAAAATAAACACAAAAATTTGATCTCAGCAGTCATTTCTGTTCATGCATGTTCACCCCTATTCTCGGAGTTATGAATGCACTCGGATCCTTCTCCAAATTCATGGAAGTCTTTGTCTGGATTCTTCGCTGGTTCATTTCCTCTTCAAATTGAAGTAAAAGAGAGAAATGATCTCTCATCTTCATCATCTGGGTAGATATCCTCTTTCTTCTCAGAGGGCTTTGTTCTTCTCCACCTAAACCAGCTTGCAGAGTGAAGGAATATGATGATGTCTCACATAAATACAGATTAGATCGATTGATAATCAAACAATCTAGCAAGGAATTTTCAATCCGGGCCTCGGCTCTGCGCTGCTGCTACAGTTGCAGATCATTCCACTTTGTTCACGTCTGCTTGACATGTTCTAAGTTCTAGCTGCATCCACAACCGCACTGGTGGATCGTGGGTGACTCGGGTACCGAAACCCGGGACCTGACACGAGTCTGCCAGCTCCAAACCGAATTATGGTCGTTTCATGAAAATGCTCTCTACTTCGCCACTAATAAAACCACCAATCTGAGAATCCGTTAGTCTCTGATCCAGTCAGACGAAAAGCTTCCCCGTAACTCAACCACTCGTCGCGACTCCCGAGGCCTTGCAACCTATCTCCATAATTGCTACCACATTAAATGTGGCTCTTGGCTACCACCCTCTAGTGATCCTCCTCCTCTCGGAATTCATGCTGGTGGGATACCCAATCAACCGCACATAAATGACGCTAATAAGCAAGCCTATGATTTGCGACATAATTTGAGCTTCCATTATGAGGATTTGGGCTTTGAAAGCCCCTCCAGGATGTCGTGGTACAGCTCTTCCTCCTCTTCCTCCCCCTTCTGAACTCTCTCAGAATCAGTAGGTCTTTCTCTCTCTCTCTCTCTATATATATATATGTCTATACATCGCCCTTCTTCGCCGTGGGAGGATCATCCATCACCTCGTGTTTACCGATCCTATGGGGAAAACCCTAACTCAGCAAGCTGGATTTAGATACCTCAACCAACCTAGTTAGTTAGTTAATTATATATATATATATATATATATATTGAAACCAAACTATAGAGTAGATTTTTTTGTATTAGATATATAAAATGAGAAAACATGAGCCAATGTTGTGACATTGTATGCAAATAGATGTTGGTATAGTTAATATACAAAAAATCTTGGTGTAATGCAATTATGGATTTGGGAATGCATAAATTGTGATTTTCCAACTATTATTATATTGCTCTACTTAATTGTGATATTATCTCTAATTTTTTATTTTTTATTTTTTTGAATTTGTAGCGTTAATTTCATATTAAAAAAATTGTTTTAAGTTTCAGTAGTTTTTTTTAATATTTAATTTTCTTACTTTGCAAGTTCTATCATACTTGTGGATATTATTTGTGTCATTTACATGTCATTCTGGATGTCTTCTTTCTAAACTTATGCATTACATTAATTTCAAATATTTTAAATATAAATGCTTTATAATAAAGACCATATTATGTCAAAACATTTGAATTGAGGAGTTAATTGAGTTGCAAAATTTGCTTTAATTTTAGAAATTTCTCTCTATGCTACCCAACTATGATAGATTGTAATTATTATTTTTAGATAAGTCACATTGACCAATTCCATACTCTGTAGGTGTAACTGCATTTCCAAAATCTATTTAAAAAAAAACATGTATGGAACATGTTATTACCGTAATGGTTTGCAGTAAAAACTTGTCCAAGTTACTTGCAGCAGCTCGTAGAAATTCACCGAGGTTAAGAAGTGTTCCGTTTTAAGGAATTCGATCACTCACTCACTCATTCATTCATTCCAGTCTGTTGATTTCCTTGGCTTCTTCTGGTGTGTTGTTGTTCTTCCATAGGCTAGAGATAATAGAGGTTTTGGGGAAAAGAAAAGAGGCGCTATGATATGATTTGTTAGAAGAAGAATTCTAAGAGGGGGAGGAGGCAGAAGAAGTAACCACCCACATAACAGCAAAAGCAGAAGTAGTAGTAGCAGCAGTATGGGGGGGAGGGGGAGATAATTTGGCCCTGCCTTATTTATTCCAGAGCGGCAATAATCCCTCAGGGTCCACTGGTGCAGTCTGAGCACCATCCTCTGTGGTCCTTCTTCCCGCACTTAAAAGGGGAGGCGGTAAGTTCCTGCAGCTGCGTCAGAGAAAATTGGGATTTAGACCTCTGAATTGCAGAGAGTAGTGGGATCTGACCGACGCTGCAGGGGGGGCAGGCCAAAGTCAATCTATGGTGTAAGAGATGGCTGTGCTGTGAGGGGAAAGTGGGTGTAGAAGGGGGAGTGGGAGAGTGGGGGTTGGCGCAGGGTGGCGATGAGGAGGAGGAGGAAGTTGAGGGTGCTGCGATGTCGTCTAGTGTGCGGACACCGCCATCTCAAACTCACCCGTTACCGGTCAACTGCATGCTCGTGCCAGGCCAAGCGGGAGTTGGGCAAGTTGCCAGTACTTACGGTCGACCAGCGTGGCAGACGGATAGTGATTAAGTGTCACGCTGTCGTGTAGGATGCTAAGATTTTCGCAGGATTTGATGCAGCGAGTGTCAGTCTCGTCAGCAGCGTAAACTGCATGGCCAGACTGAAGGTGGCACGTCGAGGAGATTGAGTTAGTCGAGTGAGATTAGTTGGAGCGGAGACGAAAGACTATCTCCCCCCCTCCACCCACCCACAATTGTCTCGTTTGATATTTCCTGTGCCTCAAGTAATGTGTCACTAGTACCCAATTTCATTGACGGGGAACTCAGGCCAACTTTGCAATCGTGAGTGTTGCCACTTGAATGAGTCAATCAACTGTGTGCGCGCTGTTAAGAAGCCTTTCAAAGTAATCAGACACAAAAGAAGCCTTGACATGCGTACCTGCAACACACTTATGAGATTCGAAACTGGGGTCAATTGATTCGATGTAAGGCATCCTGCTAGGCGCTGCTACCATTCCAAGAGTCAACAGGTATTTCGTCGTCAAAGATCTTCGGAAAACTGCTATTCTTGAGAATCTGATTATAATCATCGCAGATGCAGATCCAGGTGCCTCGCCCTGCTCCACGAGTACGTGATCGTCATCCAAAGGGTCCTTGATCAGGAGCCCAGTCTGTTTCTACACATCATGAACCGTAGAGTCCTGGACGGTAAACGTGAGACTCAAGGGGTGAAATCGGAACGTGATTGAGCCATCACTCGTTGTGTCTGAATATTCACGTACTGTCCCCCTAGGAAGACTGCAGCTCGGACCCATTGATAGCAATCAAATATTTCACGAGGTTAGATGAACAAGCATGAATGAATCCGCTTACATATTAATGATACTTGAGAGTCTTGGTGCAAATATCTGTAACTGCCCCCGTCTAGCACGTACTTAACTTTCTGCCATGAATCTAATCATTTCTTACAAGTCAAATCAGTGTGCCACTCGTTCATTTCAGAATAAACTCATTCGCTACTTCGGAATTTTATGTCTCCATTCACAGTGCAGTGAACATCCCTCTGAAACTTTGCCCGGTCCTTCAAAACCTTACTCGGAGGATCCTCTGAAATCCTAGTTTCTGCAACTAATATTGTATCAATCACCAACCATCAACATTGAGTTTTTACGTTGAATTATACTAGCTAGTAACTGATGAGCCCGGTCTTGATAAATGCAGCAGAGAGTTCATTGCTCAAGTCGTCTGTTACAGCCACTAAAGCCTGACTCAAACCCCTCCAAGAGATTATTCCTCATGCCCAAAAGGCACTCGACGATTGATGGTCTCCATTTCAGCAACCCGATCAGGCCTGATTTTATCAGCCGATTTACAAATCTGAGAGCTGATTAAGCATATGACATATGTGTGTATTGATCTAGCGTTCCTCATTGCAGATGATCGGGTTCCAGATTATACTTCCAAACACATGAACTGTAATTCATGACACCTTTTCATGTCAAAGAGTACCTGGTGAGGCAGCGATTCTAGTCATGTGAGCCAAAATCAGGCTTCAGGTTTCTTAGTTCCAGAGTTCGTATGGAAGTCTACAGACGCCCTTTGGTTTGTAGTAGTAGTAGTAGTAGTAGTAGTGTGTGTGAATGTTGCCATATTCTACCAATTTACTATCATCCTCTTTCCTATTTTGTGATTTTGTCTGGGGTTCACAGAAGTTGAATTCTTAGGGCTTGCATACCCCTCAACTAACCATTTATGGTTACTGTTGACAAAGGCAACATGCAGTGTTGTAAATGCCACCATAAACACAAAAGTCTGAATTGGGTCTTATGGTGGTTCACTTCCTCCACATTCATATACTAGAGAGCACCTGAGAGACTAGTAGTACATTTGTTTGTACATTTCCACAAGTTTTAAATGGCTGTAGTTATGGTTTTTCTTCTTTTGAGAAACTGTGCCCTGGTCTTATGGGGTGTATGGTTACTTGGGAATCTCACCATGTTGTCAAGCTATGGACAGATTATTACAAAGTGGTTGAAAAAACAATCAAGGGTTCTTAGTTGTATGTACTTTCCTTTGTGGTTTTTATGTAGTATGAATAGATGGTATCTTTGACCTCTATGTTGTTTTTGAAATAGTGGTCAAGAGCCATTCATTAGTGCTTTTATACAAACTCAGTTTGGTTTTGGTAAGTTCTTGACTTTTGTACAAATATTTATTAAATGATTTTTTAATTTTTTTTCAACTCAGATACAGCAAACAGACAAGAAAATCAATATTCTTCCATTCATGGTTTTCCAATAATTTTTTTGGATAAACACAAGTACATTCCATCAATTTTATACAGCTAAAGAAATGGATATAAGTGTAAATGTTGAAAATTACATCAAATCACATGTTATATTTTGAAAATTATAGTATACAGTGTAAGAAATTGTTACTTTTCAGAAGAAATTCTAGTTTGAATTTATGCTTTGAATACCAATAATTATTAAATGTTTATGCGACTGATCAAATCATGTGTGTATATATATATATATATATATATAACATATATTTTTTCAATAATTTT